TCTTCTTCGTAATCCTGATCCACATCCTTATCCTCATTCTCATCATCATTTTCTTCGTAATGCTGATCCACATCTTTATCCTCATCCCATCCTCATCCTTATCCTCATCCTCATCCTCATGTTCTCCGTAATCCTCATCCACATCTTTATCCTCATCCTCATCTGATCCTGATCCTGATCCTCACTGACATCTCATCGTGACCCTCAGTCTCGTCTCATCCTTATCCTCATCTTCATCCTCATCCTAATCCTCGTTCTCATTCTCATCCACATTCTCATCCTCATCCTCATCTCATCCTCATCGTCATTGTCATCCTCATCCTTATTCTCATTCTCATCCTCACACTCATCCTCATTTTCAGCGTCATCGTCATCCTCGTCCTTATCCTCATCCTCATCTCGTCCGCATCGTCATACTGGTCTTCATTTTTATTCTCATCCTGATACTCGTCCTCATCCTCATGGTCATCCTCGTCAACATCTTCATCCTCCTCCTCCCCCTCCTCCTCCTCATCAGCATCTTCATCCTCATCCTCATCCTCATCTTCTTCGTAATCCTGATCCACATTTTTATCCTCATTTTCATCATCATCTTCGTAATGCTAATCCACATCTTTATACTCATCCCAACTTCATCCTCATCTTCATCCACATGCTCATCGCCATCCTCTCTATCATCTTCGTCTTCATTTTATTCCTCATCCTCATGTCATATTTATACTCATTCACATCCTCATGTTCTTCATCGTCATCGTCATCGTCATCCTCATCCTCATCCACATCTTTGTCCTCATCCTCATCCTCTTCTGATCCTGATCCTCATCCTCATTGACATCTCATCGTGATCCTCATTCTCCTCTCATCCTCATCGTCATCCTCAACCTCATCCTCCTCCTCATTCTCATCCTCACCCTCTTCTCTTCCTCATCGTCATCATCATCATCCTGGTCTTAGTCCTCATCCTCTTCTTCATCTTCATTTTCATCCTCATCCACATTCTCATTCATAGTCATCATAGTCATCCTAATCTTCATCCTCATCCTCATCCTCAACATCATCCTCATGTCATACGCATCCTCATCCTCCTCAAAATACCCATCCTCATCCTCATCCTCGTCGTCATCATCATCTTCGTCCTCAATTTCATCCTCATCATCGGCTCATACTCATCCTCATCCTCATCCTCATCCTCATCCACGTCTCATCTTCACCATCAACCTCATCTCATCCTCATTCTCAATCTCATCTTACTCCTCATCGTCATCCCATCTTCATTCTCGTCCTCTTCCACATCCTCATGTTTTTCGTCATTTTATTTTCATCCTCATTTCTTGCTCATCCTCTTCCTAATGCTCATCCTCATCCTCATCCTCATCTTCATCCTCATCTCATCCTCAACCTCGTCCTTGTCCTAATCCTCATCCTCATCTTCATCCTCATCTTCATCCTCATCTCATCCTCAACCTCGTCCTTATCCTAATCCTCATCCTCATCTTCATCCTCATCCTCATCCGCATCCTCATGCTCATCCTCATTCTCATTCGCGTTTTCATCTTAATCATCATTCACATCGTCATCGTCATCTCATCCTCATCCTCATGCTCGTTTGCATCCTCATCCGCGTTTTCATCCTCATCATCATTCACATCTCCATCCTCATCCTCATCTTCATTCTCATCCTCATCCTCATCCTCCTGTTTTTCGTCGTTTAAGGTTTATCCTCATATCATCCTCATCCTTTTCGTCTGCGTCCTCATCGTCATCGTCATCCTCATCCTCATCCTCATACGCATCCTGATCTTCGTCCTCATCCTCAACCTCAACCCCATTCTCATCAACATCATCGTCATGATCAACCCTTTCTCATTCACATCCTCACCCTCATCTTTCTTTTCATCGTCAACCTCATCTCATCTTCATGCTCAACTTCATCTTCATCTTCATCCTCATCTTCATCCTCATACATATTCTCATCCTCATATCATAGTCAGCCTCATCCTCATCTTCATTTTTATCCTCATCCTCATCCTCATCTCATTCTCATCCTCATCCTCCTCCACATGCTCATCCTCGAACGTATCCTCATTTTCATCATCATCTTCATCCTCATTTTCATCCGCATACATATTCTCATCCTCATATCATTGTCAGCCTCATCCTCAACCTTATGTTTATCCTCATCTTCATCCCCATCTCATACTTCTCCTCATCCACATCTCATACTTATCCTCAATGTCATCTCCTGTTCTTTCTCATCCTCATCTTACTCCTCGTTGTCATGTCATCCTTATTCTCATCCTCATCTTTTTCGCATTTCATTTTCATCCTCATATTCATCCTTATGCTCATCCTCATCAACATCCTCATTCTCATCCTCATACTCATCGTCCTCATCCCCATCCTCATCCTCCACATCCTCCTCATCTTCATCCTCATCATCATCAACGTCATCATCATCATGATTCCATCTTCGTCCTCATCCTGATCCTCATCATAATCCTGATCATCATCCTTATCCTCAATCTCATCGTCATCGTCAGCCTCATTCTCATTCATATCCTCATTTTCATTCTCATCCTCATCCTCATGATCATCGTCGCCAGCATCCGCATCCTCGTCCTCATCATTATCCCCATCCCCATCCTCAGTTTCATCTTGAACCTCATCCTGATTCTGATCCTCATCGGCATCCTCATCCTCATCCTCATCATCATCATCTTCGTCCTCATCCTCCTCATCTTCATCCTCATCATCATCAACGTCATCATCATCATGATTCCATCTTCGTCCTCATCCTGATCCTCATCATAATCCTGATCATCATCCTTATCCTCAATCTCATCGTCATCGTCAGCCTCATTCTCATTCATATCCTCATTTTCATTCTCATCCTCATCCTCATGATCATCGTCGCCAGCATCCGCATCCTCGTCCTCATCATTATCCCCATCCTCATCCTCATTTTCATCTTGAACCTCATCCTGATTCTGATCCTCATCGGCATCCTCATCCTCATCATCATCATCTTCGTCCTCATCCTCATCATCATCGTCCTCCTCTCATCGTCCTCATCCACATTCTAACCATCATCGTCATCTCATCCGCATCCTCATCCTCATCCGCATCCTCATCCTCATCCACATCCTCATCCTCACCCACATCCTCATCCGCATCCTCATCCTCATGTTCATCCACAACATCGTCATCTTTATCCTCATCTCATCTTCATCCTCGTGCTCGTCCTCATCCTTATCCTCATACTCATCTCATCATCATCGTCATCCTCGTCCTCAACCTCATCCTCCTCCTCATCATCTTGTACGTAATCCTCATTCTCATTCTCATGCGCATTCCCACTCTCATCCTCATCCTCATGATCCTCTTCTTCCTCATCCTCATCATCGTCATCGTCATCGTCATCGTCATTGTCATCGTCGTCTTCATCCTCATCCTTATCGTCATCCTCATCCACATTTTCATCGTCATCCTCATTCTCATCGTCATCCTAACCAACATCATCATCCACATGCTCATCCTCATCCTCATCCTCATTCTCATCTCATCATCAGCGTCATCCTCATCCTCATCCTCATTTTCATCCGCAACATCTTCATCATTATTTTCGTCCACATCCACATCTTCGTAATCATTCTCATCTTTAGCTCATCGTCATCCTTATCCTCGTCCAAATTTCATCGTCATCGTCATCCTCATCCTTATCCTCAACCTCATCCTCATCCTCATTCTCATCATCGTTTACATGCTCATGCTCATTTAATCCTCATCCTCTACCTCATTTTCAAACGCATACTAATCCTTATCGTCAATATCATCCTCATCCTCATTTTCATTGTAATCTTCTTCCTCATCTCATGCTCATCTTTATCCTCATCCACATCCCCATACTCATTCTCATCCTGATTCTCATTTCGTCGTCATCTTCATCCCCATCCTTATCATTTTCTTATTGCTCATCCTCATCCACGTCCTCTACCTTATCCCCATCTCATACTTATCCCTATCCTCATCCTTATCTTCATCCTCATCTTCAATCTCATCCTCATCCTCATTCTCGTCGCTATCGTCATCTTCATCCTCATCCTCAACCTCATTTCATCCTCACTGTCATCTCATACTCGGCCTCAAGGTCATCTTCTTCTTCATCCTCAACTCATCCTCATCCTCATCCTCATCCTCATCTCATCGTCATCGTCATCTTCGTCCTCATTTCATCCGGTTACTCATCATCATCGTCATCCTAATCCCCATCCTCCTCCATATCCTCATCTCCATCCTCATCCACATCCTCATCATTTTCTCAATGCTCATCCTCATGCCCGCCCTCTACCTCATCCTCATCTCAAACTGCTCCTTATTCTCATCCAAATCCTCGTCATCATCCTCATGCTCATCATCGTCATCCTCACCCTCATTCCCATCCTCATCATCAATTCATCCTCATCCTCATCCTCATTTTCATTCTCACCCTCATTTTCATCCTCATGCTCAACCTCATCCTTATCCTCATCATCGTCATCCTCAACCTCATCTCTAACCTCATCATCATTTCATCCTCATCCTCATCATCCTCCGCTTCATACTCATCTCATCCTCATCCGCATCCTGATCCTGATCCTCATCCGTTTCTCATTCGCATCTTCATCCACATCTTCATTTCTTCGTCATCCTTTTCGTCATCCTCATCATCATCTACATCCCAATCTCATCATCATCCTCATCCACATCCTCTTCCTAATACTCATCGTCATTCTCATCCTCATCCTACTCCTCATCATCATCCACGTCCTTATACGCATCCACATACTCATCCTCATCCTCATCCTCATCGTCATCCTCATCCTCGTCTCATCCTCATCCTCATTCTCATCCTCCTGCTCATCCTCATCCTCATCCTCATCTTCATCCTCAATCTCATTTCATACTCATCTTTACCTCATCCTCTTCATCATCCGCATTTTCATCCTCATTCTCCTACTCCTCATCCTCCACGACCTCACCGTCATCCTCATCCTCATCCTCTTCCTAATACTCATCCTCATCCTCATCCTCATCTTCATCCACATCCTCATCTAATCACCATTCTCGTCTTCGTCCTCATCCGCATCCTCATCTCGTCCTCATTCTCATTCTCATTCTCATGCTGCTCCTCATACCCATCCTATTTTTCATCCTTATCGTCATTTTCATGTTCATCCACATCCCATTTTCATCCTCATACTTATCCTCATTCTCAAACTCAACCTCAATCTCACCCTCATTCTCATCTTCATCTCATCCTAAACCTCATCCTCATTCTCATCCACATCTCATCCTCACTCTCATCCTCATCCTCTTCCTCTTCCTCATCATCTACCTCATTTTCTTCTTCATCCTCATCCTTATCTTCATCCTCATCCTCATTATCATACTCACACTCATGCTCATGCTCGTCCTCATCCTCCTCCTCATCCTCATCATCATCCTCATCTTCGTCCTCATCTTCATCCTCATCGTCATCGTCATCGTCATCCTCATCTCATCCTCATCCTCATCTCCATCATCTTCCTCATCCTCATCCTCGCCTCATCCTTATCATCTTCCTCATCCTCATCCTCATCCTGTTCCTCATCCTCATTTTCATTCTGATCCTCCTATTCCTCATCATCCACAAGCTCAACCTCATCCTCATCGTCATTCTCATTCTCATACTCTTCTTCATCCTCAACTTCTTCCTCATTCTCATTCACATCCTTATCTCATCCTCATCCCGACGTCATCCTCATCCTCATCCTCATCATTTTCTCAATGCTCATCCTCATGCCCGCCCTCTACCTCATCCTGATCTCATACTTATCCTTATTCTCATCCTCATTCTCGTTATCATCCTCATGCTCATCATCGTCATCCTCACCCTCATTCCCATCCTCATCATCATTTCATCCTCATCCTCATCATCCTCCTCTTCATCCTCATCTCATCTTCATCCGCATCGTGAACCTGATCCTCATCCGAAGCTCATTCTCATCCTAATCCACGTCTTCATTTCCTCCTCATCCTTATCGTCATCCTCATCCTCATCTACATATTCATCCTCATCCTCATCCTCATCCTAATACTCATCCTCATTCTCATCCTCATCCTACTCCTCATCATCATCCACGTCCTCATCCGCATACTTATTGTCATCCTCTTCCTTATCCTCATGGTCATCCTCATCCTCATCCTTATCCAAATCTTCATCATCACCCTCATCCTCATCCTCATCCTCGTCTCAACCTCATCCTCATCCTCATCCTCGTTCTCATCATCATCCTCATCCTTATCCTCAACGTCATTCTCATCCACATCCTCACCTCATCCTAATCCTTGTGCTCACACAATCCTCATCTTCATACTCGTCCTCATTTTCATCATCATCGTCATCTTCACCTTGTTCTTCATCATATTTTCATTTTCATAATCATCTTAATACTCAAATTCATCCTCATCCTCATCCTCATACTGGTCCTCATCCTCATCCTCATCCTCATCATCGTCCTCACCCTCATCCTCATCCTCATCATCTTAATTCTCATCTCGATCCACATCCCCAATGTTCATCTCATCTTCATTTTCTTCCTCAATCTCCTCCACATCCTCATCCTTATGCTCATCCTCATCCTCATCCACATCATTATCCTCATCTCATCCTTATCTTCATCGTCATCCTCNTCTCTTCATCGTCATCATTTTCATCCTCATCGTCATTCTCATCCTCATTCTCATCCTCATCCTCCTCTTCATTCTCATCCACATCCTCATGCTCATCCTCATTCTCATCCTCATCATCATCCTCCTCCTCATGATCATCCCCATGCTGATCCTCATCCTCATCCTCGTCCTCATCCCCATCCTCATCGTCGCCTTCTTTTGATCATCTGCATCGTCATCCTCATCATCATCCTCAGTCTAATCCTGATCCTCATCTTCATCCTTAGGTCGTTCTCATCCTCATTCTTATCCTCATCCTCAACCACATCCTCAGCCTCATCCTAATCCTCACCTCATCCTCATCGTCATTGTGATCCTCATCCACATCCTCATACTCATACTCATGCTCATTCTCATTAACATCCTCATCCTGATCCTCATCTCATTTCTCATCCTCGTCCTTATCCTGATATTTATCCTCATCTCATCCTCTTCCACATCCTCATCCTCGTTTTCACCCTCATCCCTTTCTCATCCTCATGCTCCTCTTTAATCTCATCCTCATCGTCGTCCTCATCCTCACCTGTTCCTCATTTCCATTTTCATCATCATCCCTATGCTCATCGCCATCATCGTCATCATCATCCTCATGTCATCCCTATCATCATGCTCATTTCATCCACATCCCCTCATCAACTCGTCCTTTTCCTCATTCTCATTCTCATCCTCATCCTCATCTTAATCTGATCCTTATCCTCGTCATCATCGTTATCCTCATCCCATCGTCATTCTCATCCTCAACGTCATTCTCATCCTCATCTCACCATCATTCTCACCCTGCTATCCATCGTAATCTTCATCTCATCGTCATCCTCATTCTCATCCTCATGTTCACACTCATCCTCATCCTCATCGTCATAATCATCGTCGTCATCATTCTTCTCAATCTCATCCTAATCCTCATCTCATCCTCATCCTTATACTCTTTTTAATCCTCATACGCAT